ATGGGGGGGCAGGAGTGAGCTATACCCTTATAGTCTCAGGGCTGGGCGTGGGGGCAGGAGTGAGGTATACCCTTATAGTCTCAGGGCTGGGCATGGGGGCAGGAGTGAGGTATACCCTTATAGTCTCAGGGCTGGGCACGTGAACACAGGCTGTGACTCACTGATCTGCCACCCTGGCCTACTTGGAAATGCTTGGTTAATGAGAGCCCCTGTCTGGAAAAAAAGGGGGGTTAGACATCCAAGGGTGTCTGTCCTCTAGGCTCCTCAAATACATACACACACATCCAAAAATCTGTGAGCATGTGGGATGACTTAAGGTGGAGGGCACTTGCTGACAGCCTGAGTTCTATCCTGAAACCCAGAGTGGAGGGAGAGAGCGAGACCTACAAGTTGTGCTGACTTCCATATCAGAGCTCAAGTGCCCAACACCACAAAACAAACTCAGAAATATTAAAAGAAAAAAAGAAAAGAAAAGAAAAGAAAGAAAGAAAAGAAAAAAAATGCCGTGACTTGGGGCTGTAATTCCAGCACTCAGGAGACTGAGGCAAGTGGACCTACACAACTTGGTCTACATAGAGTTCCAGGACAGCCAGGGCTACACATCAAGATCCTGCTGTCTACCCCCACTAAAAAGAGAATACGTTTGAGCATGGGCAAAACAAAAAGAAAAGAGCTCTTCTAGCTTCTTCTAGCTCTTCTAGCCTTGAAAAATGTATCTTCTGGGCCGGGCGATGGTGGCGCACGCCTTTAATCCCAGCACTCTGGAGGCAGAGGCAGGTGGATCTTTGTGAGTTCGAGACCACCCTGGTCTACAAGAGCGAGTTCCAGGACAGGTTTCAAAGCTACAGAGAAACCCTGTCTTGAAAAACCAAAAAAAAAAAAAGAAAAAAAAAAAGAACTTCTGGGGCTGGGGGGTGTTATTCAGTGGTAGGGCACTGGCCTAGCATGGGTGAGGGTTTGCGTTGCATGAGAGAAGATACTGTGTCCCTCTAGGCAGAAGCTGCTAGACCGCGCACTCCAGGCCGGGGATCTACAGTCTTGCTGCTTCCCGGTCTACATCCTACAGAGCCTGCCTGGCCTTTGCCTCTGGAACCCACGGTGGTTCGCTCATAGACCTGGGGAGCTAGCAATTTAGCAAACTCTTCTAGGAGTGCAAGCTGGAGGCCGCAGAGGGACAGGGATCCCCACGCTGACCCATCTTTCCCCTCCCCCCTTGCTATGCAGATCCGGACGCTGCGGCTCAAGATCCTGGCCCAGGCGGCAGCCGAAGGGGTGCCGGTGCGCGGGGCGCGGAACCAGTTGCGCATGTACCTGACCATGGCAGTGGCGGCCGCTCAGCCGCTGCTCATGTACTGGCTCACCTTCCACCTGGTACGGTGAGCGGCCAGCCCGGCCTCCAGCTGCCACATTCATCTCGCCCAACCCGGGCCCAGCTCTCCAGGCCCGCGCCCCTCCCTCCCAGCCAAGGTGCTCTCGTCTCCAGCTGCACACCGCAACAATAAACCTGATGGGCTCAGCACGGCCTCCGCTCCTGACCGGCAGGGGGCGCTGGGGAGTGGGGCGGGCTGCAAGTTTTAATAAGTCAGTGGGGGGGCTTCTTCTCCTTTTTCTTTTCCTTCTTCACCTTGGGTTTCTTGGCCTTGTCCGGGGAGCGTTCATGCTTCTTGCAGCCAGTGGTGTGCTTCTGGAGGGCCCAGGACGATGGGTGGGGGAGAGAGAAGAGGTGGCACGGTTGGAAGCAGAACTGGACATGCTCCACCCTCTGCAGCTAGGAGGATCCCAACCTGACTCTGACCATGGCCTGGTCAGTGTCATGGTGCGTGAGAACATGCGGGGAGAGGGGTAGCATCTTACCTGTTCCTCCGTCTCTGAGTCGCTGGAGCTGCTGCTGCTGCTGCTGCTGGAATCGGAGGAGCTGCCATGGCCATGCTAGATAGGAGGTGGTGGGGGACAGTAAGGGACAGGGGGGCGACAGTAAGCTTGCTCACTCAGCTTCCAACCCAAGCTGGAAAGCTGAGATGTGGCAGAACACCCAGGACAGAAGCCAGCCCATCCTGGGCTCTCTCGACGCTGGTGGTGAGGTGACTTACCCTTGATTTGTGAGCAGCGCCTGCCCCTGGCTGGCCCGGAGCTTTAAGGGGACAGTGCTTGGGGTCTCCCACTTGACCTGTGCCCCCTGGTTTCTTAGAACCAGCGCCCACGGCTACAGAGGAGAGAGAAGTTAGACGGGTTAAGCAGGCGACTGGAAGAGTCCCTTCGTGGGGGTCCCTGGGTTTGAGTCCGAACCCCACCTCGCACCGCAAATCCACCACTCCCGGAGAGCGTACCTGCAGCCAGGTCGAACTCCATGGCGATGGTCACTCTGGAGGATCCGACCCGAAGGCTTAGACGGTGCCTGGGGCAGGGGGTGGGACCACACGACGCACCCACCTCAGGAATTCTGCAAAATCCCTCCCTCCGGACCTTTGTACCCCTCAGCCCTGTGGTCCTGACTCATTGCACCGCCGCTCCCAGCCCCACCCAGACTTTCCTCTGTGGGAAATGAAGGTGAGGGTGGCTGTAGTTTTCTGGGGAAAAGGTTGAGACCTGTTATGAACTGACCACTCCGTGGGGCTGCTTGCTTCGAAAGAGTCCATGTACACTGAGCAAGTTAAAGATACATGCAGTACATCCTGGGAGCTGGTGAGCTCAGGTTCCTGGCCCCTCTGGCCTGAGAAAAGGAGCGTCTGAGGGATTTGGAGCCCAAGATAGAGCAACCTCCGTGGCAGCCAGGAGGGAGGGAGGCCTCAGCAAAGCTGCACCCTGGGGTGATGGTGAAGATCAGGCAGATGGGTTAAATTCCTAGACTGGTGTCTGGCAGAGTAAGTGCTTGCGAAATGTGTTGCGCTGTTTTGGTAAAGGCAGGTGTCTTAATTTGGGCTGTTAGAACAAACACAGCAGGTGAGTGGCTTAGACAGTAATTACCTTCTAGTTGTTGAGGCTGGGAGCTCGATGCGAGGCATAGGTAGAGAGAGACCCCTAGTATGAAGATGGCCCGTTCCCTGCCATCTTCATACTAGATGAGAAGAGAAGAGAAGAGGATTCATGTGTCTGGATGTAGGCTCTCTTCCTAATGTCTGGAATCACACTCTCAAGATCCTGTTACCGTCAACAGTACCACTTCGAAACCACCATATTTGGGAACTGGGCTTTACCATCCAACTCTTTCGCACACAAACATTAGCTCTAAGCTGGACACAGTGGTACAGTACTGTAATTCTCAGGAGACCACAGGAGGATTTGAAGTCCTGCTATAGCCTGAGCTACACAGCCTGACAGTGCCAGCGTGGTGGCGCACACCTTTAATCCTAGCACTCGGAAGGCAGAAGCAGGTAGATATCTGGGTTTGAGGCCAGCCTGGTCTACAGAGAGAGTTCTGTGCCACCCAGGGCTCCACTGGTGAGGTGGCCTGTCAGGTAAAGGCACTTGCCACTTGCCAAGACTCAATCACCAGGAACCACATGAAGGAGAGAGCCAGGGCCTGCAAGTTGTCTTTGGACCTCCACAGATGCACATCTAGGCAAAATAAAATAACCACAATAGAAAAATATTAAAAACAAACGCCTGCCTGTGTCTGCAGAAGTGAGCCTCTGATTAGGAACAGGTGGCTGCTTTGGGGATCATAATGAGCATGTGCCACCCCAGATACCTGCCTAAATATCAGCTTGCAGAAAGTTTGCCCTGGTTGCTGTGGGCACTATCATTCCAGCACATACTTGGCACTTACCGGTATTTGAAATACCTTTTTTTCCCCTTTGGTTTTTTGAGACAGGATTTCTCTGTGTAATAGAGCCCTGGCTGTCCTGGAACTCACTCTGTAGACCAGGCTGGCCTTGATCGCCCAGAGATACACCTGCCTCTGCCTCCCAAGTGCAAGTGTGCCACCACTGCCTGGCTGTATATGACTGTTTTGCCTATGTATACCTGCAGAGACCAGAAGACAGTGTCAGAGCCCCTGGAACTGGAGTTACAGTTATGAACCACCATGTGGGATCTGGAATTCGAACCCATGGCCTCTGGAAGAGCAGCCAGTGCTCTTAACTACTGAGTCGTTCCTCTAGTACCCACCTACCCTTTTTTTGAGACAGGGATTTATCTGGCCTGGAACTCAATGTAGAGTCGAAGCTGGTCTTAAACATAAGTGGACTCTGTGTCCAGAACCCCAAAGCACTCCACCCACAGGAATAAAAGCGAGAGAGGTACAGCGGAGCAGAGGAGCCATTCCTTGTGTGGTGTGCTGGGGAGGGCTGGATTTCCGAGTGAGGACCTCACGGGAGCTGCTGGTGGTGGCTGTTTTGAAGCTGGGTCTCCAGCAGTCCGGGCTGCCCCAGACTTGCCGTGTAACGGGATGATCCCGAGAGAAGGCCACACAGATGTGCCAACCTGTTGCTTTGTTTTGCAGTTTCAAGACTACAAACAAGCAAGGCCTGCTTGGACTACAGAGTGTGTTCCTGGCCAGTCTGACACCCTAGGGAGACCCTGACCCAAAGGAGAAAGGGGGTGGTGATGAAGGTAGGGGTTATCTTAGGGGTCAAGCACCTGCCTAGCATGTGTGGTCCTAGGTTAAATCTGCTGTCAAAATAACAATTTTGTAGATAAAAGTAAATTGAGCCAGGTATGGTAACACAGGCAGAGGCAAGTGAATCTCTGAGTTCGAGGCCAGCCTGGTCTACAGGGAGAGTTCTGGAACAGCCAGGGCTACACAGAGAAACCCTGTCTCAAAAAAAAAAAAAAAAAAAAAAAAATAAAAAAAAAAAAAAAAAAATAAGATAAGAAGGGTGTTGTACAAGAGCCAGAGGTTCAAAGGCCTTCAGGCAGGAACACTGTCCTAGGATCTTCAAGGAAGTCACAGTCGCGGTGGACGATAAGAGGGGGAGAGAGAGGTGAGGAGGCAGGTGGGGACCTTTGTCTATCACGAGGGGTGAGGTGGGGTGAGCAGCAATGGTTGGGCCCACAACTTGTGCAGGCTGGCAGAGAAAGTCTGTTCAGGCAGAACATCAATTCCGTGAGGGTGGAGCCTTGTCTGCTTTGCTCCTCACCCAGACAAGTGACTCAGAGTGGTGTGTGCTGTCATTTAGTGACTGGTCAAGGTTTACCTCTGACTGGGGAGTGCCGACAGGTACACCTCAATAACCCCTTGCTAAGCACTCTGGACCTGTTTTCCCCTGGGTAAAGGTGAATCACTGGCCTATGGTCCAAGCACCGGAAAGGAAGGAGAGGTGGAGGATTACGAGTCAGAGGCCAGCCTGAGCTAATAGTTAAGACCCTGTCTCCAAACACCATGTTGAGGGGCTGGAGAAATGGCTCAGCAGTAAGAGCACTATCACCGGCTGCTCTTCCAGAGGACCCAGTTTCAATACTCAGCACCCACATGGCGGCTCACAACCATCTATAACTCCAGTTCCCAGGAACTAGATGTCTTCTGGCCTTTGCTGGCACCTGCACTCACACAGATACACACATGCTCATAACTAAATAACAAAATCTTACAAGAGAAAAAGATCTTGTCTTGAGATGGAAGGTAAGGACCAACATTTGATGTATTCCTCTGGCCTCTGTGCTCCAGCATGCAAGCGTGTGAGTGCGCGCGCGTGCACACACACACACACACACACACTCACAGGGTTGGGTCTTACCTCATTAGTAGAGCCCTTTCCCAAAACCCAGTGAGGGGATGAGGGTGTGGCTCAGCGCTAGAGTGCTTGCCTAGCAAATGCAAGGGCCTAGGTTCTGTCTCAGTTCCACGGAACAATAAAGTAGAAAAAAATAAGCCAACCTCCCCCACGTCTTTTTTTTTTTTTTTAGATTTATTTATTTATTATGTACACAACATTCTGCCTCCATGTATGCCCACACACCAGAGAGGGCGCCAAATCTCATTACAGATGGTTGTGAGCCATCATGTGGTTGCTGGGAATTGAACTCAGGACCTCTGGAAGAGCAGCCAGTACTCTTAACCACTGAGCCATCTCTCCAGCCCCAATAATTTATTTATTTATTATGTATACAATATTCTGTCTGTGTGAATGTCTGCAGGCCAGAAGAGGGCACCAGACCCCATTACAGATGGTTGTGAGCCACCATGTGGTTTCTGGGAATTGAACTCAGGACCTTTGGAAGAGCAGGCAATGCTCTTAACCACTGAGCCATCTCTCCAGCCCTCCCCCACCTCTTAAAATGGCTTTGCAGAATCTACATGGCCTGAACATACAGTGTTCAGTAATGTCAGCTGCATCTTTAACCCCCGCTCCCCATGTTGAGCCTAGGCCTCTGCCTTGGACTACGGGCCGGTGCCATCAGGCCCTGCTGGAGTGAGGCTTCTCAAAGCCCAGGCACATAGCTAGCTAGTAGACTGGAGCACCACAGGCTTCTGTACCCTGGAGCCACAGCCACTGTCCTGCTGCGCTAGTTTCAGAGTGAGAGAGTAGGGCAGGATGTGGTTTTGGCTCTCCTGACTTCCACCTCCACCTTCCCTCACCCTGCAGCATCGCGCTTGCCTTTCTTGGAGACCCAAGATGCCAGCGCTTAAAGAGGTAGTGTCACATGTAAGCCAGAGCAAGTGAGAGTGGGCATCTCTACCTGCGCACCTTCTCATCTCTGGTCCGTCTCACTGCTCTGCCTTCCTCTAGGACACAACACAGGTCGGTGTAGGCAGAGCCTTGGTGTCATTCTGCCCTCAGGAAAAGGGGCCAAGGGGCCTGCCTTTCAACTGGCCTGCAGCAAGGCTGGGTTCCTCAGGTGCTCACCCCAACCCTGTTTTTTTTTGGGTTTTTTTTTTTTGTGTGTGTGTGTGTGTTTTTACTTCAATGCACAAAAATATTTGTGGTCATTAATTATAGTGGGCAAGGAAGGCATGATGCTGAGGGGCCCAGTTGCTGGGACAGCTATATGCCTGAGGTCCCTCCTACATGCTTGAGGTCATATGTTTGACTGGAAAAGTATGTGAGGTTTGGTTTATTGGTTTAGTCTTTCCTGAAGTTTCCACCAACAGAGGCTCAGCTGCTATAAACATTATCTCCCTTCAGCCACATCCAGGCAGCTGGATGCACACAGCATGTAGGGACCATTTTCCTTCTCATCCAACTGAAGCACTGTACTGGCCTGGGACCACCAATCAACGCTGAGGCAGCCCCTGGACACTGATCAGCAAATGTGGTAAGGGGCCAAGCTGGGCCTTCTCCCAGCTGTCCCTAGCTGTTACCACCTATTCACCGGGGTCAGAAACTGGCTTTCTAGTGCCTCTGCTCTCAGGACCCAGAACACATACATGCCCATATAATGTCTGTGACAAAAGAGGGACATAATAGGTGTGTAGCTCCACGGCTGTCAATTGCTTAGTATTAACAAAGGGGTGTTATAAAGCTTGGAGAACCTTCAGAT